TTTCGAATATCAGAGTTATCTTCCACAAGAGCTACTTAATCAAACCCACATTTTTTTCTTCCAAATTCGGTTAAATCATTGCTGCGATTTAATTGCTTTTTAATTGGCATTGTGGCAGCCATTCAAAGTCAAGAGTATTTCAGATATCCCAACAAAATCAAACACCCTCTTGAATTTTTAAACTCCAATGAATTTTGTTTCTATCATAATGACCTCAAGCACAATACAAAATATTGTGACCCCTCAAGCTCCCTATTGGAGCAGCTTCTTAAGAACATCTGAAGGGTTTTTTGGTTGAAATACATCCAAAGTGGCAGAAGGAGCCAATCATCAATCTAGGCTGCTATGGAATTTGACAACTAGTTGGGGTGGTTAAGGGAGCAAGATTATATCAAATCTGTAATGGGTTTTGACCACAAAGGTAAAGCTCACTTGAATCCCTTAAACTTGTGTTATTTTTCGCAGGTCTGGATTTGTCTGCCAATCATAATATCTTCTGTCATGCAGAGATCTTCAGAGTTGTGTCAATGAGATTGAGGTCTATTGAACTCTTGTTGACTTGGGTAACTTGATTGATATCCTCTTCATTCACCACTTGGAGAATTTGGGTATGAAGAACCTATTACTTATGAAGCGGTCATTGATTGTTTTTTATGGAGAATCAAAAGATCTTGAAGGTGTCTCCATTCATAATATTGGTGCATGATAATAAATGTTATGAGTCAAAGCAATTTGACTTTGTACCCCCTAAAGCAACATTTGTTTATCATATGAACTTCAAAGACTATTGCATTGTGAATGTAGCATCGGCTTACCACTTCGTGTGAAATTTCCAACTTAAGTAGAAACAAAAACGGTCAGGGGAAACTTCATTCATTCGAGGAAGTGCTAGCTCAACATTGTATTGACTTAAGCATCGTGCTTATTGCAGGCTGTCATGAATAATCGAGAAGGCTTGCAACTCTGGACAACGTAGTGGAAGTCCCTGTGTCAAAGAGTAATTCTACTAAAACTTTTTAAGTTCTTTTTAAGAAGGTAATTTCTTAATCAATTTAACTTCTTTATTACAAAATGGCATTAATCTCTTTGCATAAGAGTCATCCAAGATGCCTAGGGTGGACACAAGCATTTACTATCATTGCTTGAATGTTCTCTTGGGTAGCATCTTAATGAAATAGAGAAAGGTAAATGCCGTATTAGATAGAATTGAACAAATTCATCAAAGGGAATGTCAATAAACTTCTTGTGGTAGAATTCATCGAGGAGGTTCAATATTTTGAGTTAGTCTCTAACATCATGTTTATTGAGAAAAGCAATTACAATTGGAGGATATATATGGACTTCATATATCTTAATAATGAGTGATATGGATGGTTACCTTTTATCAATTATTGACATTCTAGTTGACTTGGTTTTTGGGTATCCTATGCTTAGTTTTCTTGATGTCTTCTACAGTTGCTCTCAAATTTGAATGCAACCAATTGATGAGGAAAAGTTCATTATCTGGACCGATGAATGCACTATTGTTACAATCATGTCATTCAAGTTGAGGAATGTCATGGCTATGTATTGTGGCCTCATAGATATAATTTTCCTCTATCAAAAAAGAAGAAAACATGGAAGTTGAGGAATGTTATGGCTATGTATTGGAGCTTCATGGAAATAATTTTCCACTTTCAAAAAAGAAGAAAACTTGGAAGTCTTAGATGATTTCTTAGTAAAGAACCAAACTCTTGAAGAACACCTAAAATATCTGTTGACTTTCTCTAACACGAGGAAGTATAACATATGATGTAATTCTAGCACATGCATATTTGGAGAACATTTTAGCAAATTCCTAGGCTAACCTTATTTCATCTTTAAGTGTAACCTTAAGGAATGACCTCACCTTGCTTAGTTAATGAATTCTGCAAAATGACTACAAGATTATGTAATTCTAGTTATTTCATTTTTATACTTGGGAAATGTGTATCGATCTTCAAAGACTAAAAAATAATTATCTGGGCCAAGTGGATGTCATAAAACATAATTATAAGGCAATAATGAGATAACCTCCTCTCGCTTAGTTAAAGAAATTTTATCCGCTCGCTCAACTAAAGAATTCCACATGCTAAATGCAAGATTATGTAGTCTCAATTGGTTCAACTTTGTATCTGGGATAATGTGTGTTGATCTTTAAAATCTTGAAGATAAGCTGTGGGGGTACCAAGTGGATTGAAAATCTTTAAGTCATTCTAAGAGCTTAAAGTATTTGACAACATCACCGGTTCTCACCTACCCGAATTGAGCTAAATCATCTTAATCATAAAAAAGTATGCATGTGCTTTCATTGTTTTTGTGACGGACTAAGTTCCTGTTTTAAGGCTGTGAGATCCGAGTGGTTATTTGAAAGCCATTATGATAATTTCTACTTTGATGTGAACATTTGGCAAGCTTATCGAATGGTCAATTAATCTGGGTGAGTGCAAAATATAGTTTTTTATGCTGCATGACGATCAATGCTCAAGATTTGGCCAACTTTGGGTGGATTTTACGCAATTGTAGAAGTCTAATTCAACTCAAAGGAGAATATCTCATACATGTATATTGATGGACCTTTTGGTGCCAACAATAGTGGAGTGGGTATGGTTCTCATAAGCTTGAATGGAATAGCCTTAATCTGATGCCCTTGGCCTCAAGTTCAAAGCTACTAACAATCTAATTGTTATGAAGTAACTCTTGTTGGACTTCATTTGACACTTAGCGTCAGGGGGAGGATTTCTCATCTTCAGCAAACAACAGTCAGCCTTGAATCAAACCAAAGGATAATATAAGGTAAGAGGCAAGACCCTAGTTGCATGCTTAGATAAATCTAGGTAGAGGTTAGGAAGTTAAAGATCATAATAAAAAAAAATTCTAGGGAAAGAAAATCATTTGGAAAGCTTCTAGTAAAGTTGTACAAATCTCATGCAACATATATTCAAGAGGTAGCTTTTCCATTCATTGTGATAGGAAACACTTGAAGATCTCAAGTAATTCCTATCAATCTTTAGAAAAATAGCAAAAATCCTCCACAAGAATTCACACAAAATCAAGAAAACAATAGAAAATTTGTATTGTTTGATGAAATAGAAATGGAAAATAACAAGATACAGTTGATCCTCAATTCGAGAGGAGGATCGATCTCTCCCAAATCTCTAGACACTGTTAGAGCCCAAAAGAAAACCTAAATTTAAGAGATCTCAAATTTCCGCCAAATTCAAGATGCCCTAACCCTAGGAAAATAAACTATTTAATGCATACAAATCAAATGAAAATCTCTAAGCAATCCCTACATTCAAATTTCCCTCCCAATTCCTTCACAAATCGTTCCAAAGTTCCCTTGAATTTGGTGGCCCGATCGGCCTACACGACAGGCGAAGAGTTCCGCCTTCTCTCCGCCTGAGCTGATCCCGTGTGGACCGGTCTAATAATACTTCCCTCCCAAAGTGCTACCTTGTCCTCAAGGAGGAACGAAGGAAACTGTTGTTGGCGCACTTGATTAATAGCACTGGACTAAAAAATGGATTGATACTGGGTTGAATAATCCTTACCTCCAGTATCTCCTTAATCAATCTTTCGATCTCATCCTTCTGAATTTAAGGATGACGATATGGATGAACACTGAGGGGTGAAACTACTTCCTTCAAGATGATAGAATGCTTGTATTCTCGCGGAGGAGGTAACTCAATTGATGTTTAAATTGTGCTCAATAGATGTTTTTAAATCATGCTCTTGGACAAAAGCAAAAAAAAAGAGAAAAGATAAAAAAAAGAGAAAATGAGAAAGAGAGCATTCAAAAAAGAAAAAAAAAGTTAATTTTGCAAATTTGAGAAAGCCTGTTTAGACACTTGTAACGTGACGAACAACCACCCATGCACGCTTTTCTCTAGCGTGGTGGGAGAAAATTCGTTGCGATGCTAGCGACGAAGCGGATAATCTCCTAAAGTCCTATTTTTGGTGTTTGCGGCGTGCTGAGGGACCCCTTATGCACGCTTTTCTCTAGCGTGGTGGGAGGGTGTGCTGCATTATAACGAGGTAGATGAGCCTTGTGCGCGTTTTTCATAGCACGGCGGGGCAAAAATATATGTACCCGTACACGGGGAAAAACTGTATTTTTCTTACAGATGCCCGCAAACCCATGTACGCCTTTCTTTGGCTTGGTGGGAGACGAAAACTACGGCCGCGGTGTGCCACGACACTAATTGTGCACGCTTTTCTCTAGCGTGGCAGGAGGCCCAAACTCCTGAAATTTCCCATAAATGGGGGAGACGTCTGGGGGCTGACAAAATTTTGTCTGAAAAAGATAAGAACTTAAACAAATTTTTGGACAGCAAAGGACTTTATTTGCATAGCATGGAACGTTATTTTGGACTCAAATGAAATGAACTTAAAATTTGAACTTGACTTGAACAATAAATGAAACATAAATCTAAATGAATGTTGACCCAAATCAAACTAGAATTTGGACCTAAATGACAACAATTTGAACTCGGATTTGAACTTTGCAAAACAGCAGGGGACTTGAATTTACATTTTATTTGAACTTCAAATGAGAGGAACAATGACTTAGATCAATATTGGACTACACAAAACTTGGATTTATTTAGGCCACATAGAACTTGATTTGAATTGGATTTGAAAGAACTAAGTCTTTAGTTTGATTTGGACTACAGGGACCTGTTCTGAAATCAAATGGACACTGAATAATTGACATTAAGTTCAACTTATACTTAAATTTAATTTAAAAAGCATGAATCATAAGAGCAATGCAATCAAATGATAAATAATTATGATAATGAATTCAAAAGTTATTTGTGATATGCAAGTTTTAATTGACAATCATGAGTACTCAATCAAAATCGAATAGAGAATTCATTCAAGAGCAATGTGTAAATATACAGATGAAAGATTTTTTGTACATGTTATCTAACTTCTCCACAACTAGTAATCAATAAAGATTATGAAGAGTGTGATGATTCGCTTGCGAGTGACGATTGTGAAGGTGGTCACAAGAGATGGTGCGATTGCAAATGAAGATTAATAATGAAGTATAACAAGTGCATACATTCAGCTCCACAAGCAACAAAGTCGGGGTCAATGATATTCTTCATGATAATCATCCAATAAATATATAGTAGTCATTGATACATCTTCTTGTAAGTACTGATAGAAGTTTGTAGTGTCATGGAGATATAGACAACAATTGTTGGAGGAATTAAAAGAGATACAAGCAAAGACACTAAACCCCAATATGCATGATGGCTAGCATGCAGTGGTTTAATAAATGTTCTCACAGTCAACATGGAAGGATGAAGAAGTGGCATATGCAACTACATCAAGAACCAATAGTAATGTGCAAGCAAATGTGTCGGTCTCTTACGAAAATGGAAGGACCAATGTGTATCAAGCATACATATGTGTGACGATGGTAATCAACAGCATATAACAAATGCTACAACAAATTTACAATCAATAATCAATCAATGGTTGCAAAATACATTGATCCGCTGCAAGTTAAGAATTAAGATGAAATATATGTAGCAGATGTAGGCCTCTACGAGTTATCGTAGAAGACCCGTTGTATGCCCAATGAGGTGTTCACAAGAAAAATGCTAAAGTGACTATATCAGGTGCAAATTCCTATGAGTCACTGTAAGAAACGCATCGTGCATATGAGAGGACATCTACTAGCATCTACAAATGCAAGCATTTACAACTCAAAGTATGGGATTCGTTAGTGCACTATAATCTACTTGCATAAATCATGCAAGGAGTGCATGATAGTCTACATGTGTAATGCAGCAAACAACTCTATCCAGAAACTGCTACGCTATGCCACCGGATCCGCAACATTCATGCAAGCGGGAAGAAGACGTTTACAAATATTTCAAAATGCCCTCGTACATGCACCGTAGTTTGTATACACATAGGTACACGGAAGGGGAAATTACAATCACAAAACCTGCATGGGCCTCGACGAGCGTGTTATTGGTATACATGTGACGTCTAGATAAGTTGCGTGAGTTAATAAGTTAATTCAAGTTCGAATATGGTCCTATGCAGATCAAAAGGAGTCGACAGGATTCGAACCATCAAATAAATATATGGTCGTGGCGACTGGTATATTTGTTTTAATACATTCATATTAGGCTTTTAGGGCCTATAATCAAGAGAATTCACTAATAAAGGCATAAAACCTATAAAACCCGATCATCTGTCGATAACTCGATAGAGTCGACAAGTTTCAATCAACAAAGGGAAATGACCTCAAACACCCCGATGATGGCTGTGTTGAATGTAGACCTCAACCGGAGGGGTTTAATTTCAAATAATTCAAAATACTACTCCAAGTACCCAAAATCTAAATTTTGTTAAAAAATCACCAAACTTCAAGATATTTAATTTTGAAATCAACCATTAAAACAGTTAAAGCAAAATCAGTCTACCCTCCGCAATAGTTTGCCGAGGTGGACAAATATGAAATTTACTTCATGTGAGCTAATGCATAGTCGATAATATCACTAGGATTCATTCTCAAATAATCTCCTACTAGTAAAAAAGTGGTAAGTGTCCTCTAACCGACAGTTTTGCCATCAAACAGTACCACAAGATAAGCGATTAATACTCGGGCCCTTTGAACCGAGTGGTTTTGCCTCCAAATTGCACCACGAAATACCGGTTATGGCTAGAGCCAATGCGTTCCTTAGTAGCATCAAATCCTTGAGATATGAATTAGTAGGATATGATTTATATGACACAAAGCCCTCTGTTAGCTAAGGTGGATTCAAATTTATCCCCTTATACACTTTCACCCCAGCTCTATAAGGTACCATTGGATGAAGCAACCCATGGCTGCCGACAAGGATCTTTCTGTCAGGTTGGGTCGACTACCTCCTCTGACTAGGTAAACCAGGGATCACGATGGCCCGAGACAACGGAACCATGGGATCTTGATTAGCTGCGTCATCCATTCCCCCACCATCTACTTTAAGTGCAAGGTGGTAAAATTTTTATTTTAAATATCAAAATTTTCAACCTTTCAAATCTTTAAATTCTCAATATCCATGCCCATCGCTGCTATTATTTGCTAGATAATTTGTATTTCTACGTATCTGATTGATGACTAGCCTTAATTGAAAGTTCTGTTTCATTAGTGGGAGAGGTAATTAACTACAGGGGCTTGTTCCTAAAGGAAACTAGAATTCATATCATAAAGTCCTCGCAAAATGAGGGCGAAATCTCTAGGTAGTATCTTATCTACAAACCCATTTTCCTTCCCAAAATTTACCCCAGAACTTAATTTTGTTAAAACTCCCCCGAAAAGAGAAAGCAATTAGCGGTCGGGGGCTGGGGCCAAATTTTTGGAGACCACATATGTATAAGTTAGTCAAACAGAGAAATAAGAACAGTAAGGATTTAATTCAAGTGAAGTGCATTAAGGATGAAAATCAAAAAGTACTTTTATTAGAATATGATATTAAACAAAGGTGGATGGGATATTTTGCTAAAATTTTCAAGAAATATTGTGAGAATACGATTTTCTTTAATGACCTTAACATCCTAAATGAGAGTAAAGCTTTTTATTTTTATCGGCGTATTAGTAAAACCAAATATAGAGGTTTTTTAAAAGAAAATAAAGTGTGGAAATGATGTTGGATCTGATGATATTCTAGTAGTAGTGTGGAAATGCTTAGGAGTTGAAGGAATTTTTTGTCTTATTAAACTTTTTAATATTATTTTGAAGACTAAAAAGATGCCAGATAAAAATGATTGTCCTTTCGTGGCGGAGGTGTGTTGATTTATATTTTCAAGAATAAAGGTGATGCACAATATTATGTAAATTATAGAGAAATTAAGTTAATGTGTCATACTTTCAAACTATGAGAGAAATTTATGAAGCATAGGTTACGACGTAATATTAATGTTTCTTAAATTAATTTGGATTCATACCAGATAGGTCTATTATTGAAGCTATACATGTATTCAGAGGTTTGATGGAAAAGTATAGAGAGAATAAAGAGGTTTTTCATATGATATTTATTGATTTAAAGAAAACATATGATAAAATTCCAAGA